TGTCTATAATCCCATAGTTGGGTGAACAACATATATAGCTTAGCTGCAGCCTAGAAAATTTCTTTGAGAGATATTCACTGTACATTAGGTACATGCTTTGTATCTAAAATATATAAAATACTATGTGATGTTAAGATTTGCCACATAATCTGTATGAGAAATGTAGATTCCTGCTTGAGAAAGAAAGTAACAGCAGTGTTCTCAAAATCCCACTCAAATCAAGATCGACTGCCCTTTATTTACAGATAGTGAATCTAAATTCAACAATATAAGCTTGAGTCCTAAGAGAAATGAAAATAAGTAAGTGTACAGAAGAATTTCTCCTCATTCCTCTCCCCTCCTGAAACTACTTATGCCCACAGAAAGCACATCCATATGCTGAATGGAAGATCATTCTTTTCATTGTAGGATGTGATGTGGGAGCTTTGGGGGACAAAAGAATGTGAGGAAACCTATGCCAGATTTGAAGAGCTATCCCTTCTATCAGCAACCATTAAAACTTTTCGTTCATGAACTTTCTGCTGTAACTATCCCATTTACTTATGAAAATGTCATAACTTAAAGCAATTAAAAATAAGTTATAAGGCCTTTTGGAAATTCCATACACCTTCAGTCTGAAAAGTTTATATCGTGATGTGACAAGAAGCAGAAACCTAAGGGATTTAGATACCAAAGGTTACTGAGCACTGGGGTGGGGGTGGGGAGCAGGGATGTGGAAAATATACTCTGCTTATAGCCATTACAGCAGCATGACAAGCATGGAAAAGAAGATGTCATCTTCATTTGCAACTTCAGTTTTAGCGTCTCTTAAATCCTGAAGCACAAAAGCAAACGCAGAGGCAAACACAACTGCTCTTACCTCTCTCAAATGCATTTTTTATATCATTCACCTCAACCTGAGATCCAGATACCCTGAATATTCCTTCATGCTGGAGTCCTGGAAAGAAAATAGGAGGCATCCATGAAAACTGAAGTAGCTACATAAATGCCATGCTTCCACCATTTTTTTTTCCTGGTAGAGGAAGTTATGATACCATCATTTGAAGTCAAAGTGGGTGGCATTATTATAGTACTTGACAGGGCACAATAATAGCATTCAATGATTTTGTACCTTAAATAAATGTCTTCCAAAATAGATTTAGATAATTGTTACACAGTTGTTGTACACAAATGCTACATGTATGTACATATGTGCGTGTGTGTATTTCTAAACTGCTGCTTGAACTGCCTGGTGGAGGCTTTCAGGCTGGATTAACCAGGAGACACTTGAAAAGAAGGTAAGTTAGTCAAATCTTATTTTAAGCAGCAGCTTGCCTACATGCAATCCACAATTTCTAGAGACTGCAATACATGGTTTATTATTCAATCTATTACACATGATTTAGATATAAAATCTTTGTTTTTTAATGAAAGAATCCTTTGATATGAAATAGAGAACCTCTATTTATAGAATGAAAACTCTGGACATAGAAAAATCTATGCCTCCCATGAAAAGATTTCTGTAATAGAAGTCATATCACAATTATTCAATTATTTCTAACTGCTGCTTGAAATGACTTTAGAGAAAATCTGTTATTTGTTATCCAAGAATAAAACTTCTGTGGATATGCTTGCCTTGGCTGTAAGAAGATTAGGCCCAAAATCTCTACAGTAAAATGTATTGCTTTGATCTGAGGCCATTTATTTTATATTATCTCTGAATTTATTATATTTTTCTTTTCCTTCAATTATGTGAAAGGATACCTTACTTCCTGTGAATTAGTGTTTGTTCCATGCATCATTTAACTTGTGACAGCCTACAGATTTAAACAAGCAGTCCTTTATTATGTAGATAAATGCATACAGTACTTCCCATTCTGATTGGAGCAAGAATTCAGCAATGTGTGGGTAGTGCCTGATGACCCTTCAAAGCTGGAAGGAGCCTCCTATCTGTCATTTAGTGGCAAAGCGGCTTTCTGTCCCAGTAACTTCTCATTACCTCCTGATTACTACAAATTACTTTACATTATTTTAATATGAATGTCCAAAAGTTCCTCGATGCAAAATTCACATATATTGGCAAAATATGTCACAACAAAGCATGTTTCTTTGCGTATTTGTTTGATTTTTTACCATGTCCTTCCACTGTAGGTGGCTAGCAAATTCATATAAAAACAAACAGAAACTGATTAATACGCTGTATAACAGAAAAGAACAGATAACAAAAAAGCCAAGAATAACCACCAGGTGATAATTAGCTCAACAATCAAATGCCTGTCTAAATAGGAACCTTTTTATCTGCCAATAAAAGGCTGAAGAAGGGAAAGGCCCAGGCATAGTCACTGCACACTGCCTTTCTGAGTTGCATTTGGCAGGGATGTAAGTCAAAACAATCCCAAAACTTAACAGAGGAAATAATGAATAAAGAAAGTGATAGCACAGCACACTGTTTCTCTTTCAGACATTTGTTTCAAAATACCATAAAATGGCTGTCACTTTACACAGTCCCCAACAATATACTACTCGGAATGAAAAGCAAAATCCTGGTTTTTTTCCTCTTCACACTTACCATGTCTGCTAATGAATCGTATACAGCTCTCTACTACCAAAGGAATTGCTTGGCTGGAATCCTGAACCACAAAACGGAGAAAATGTGATGAAAAGAATAGTTAACTTGTCACAGCTTAAAAAAAAAAAAAACAAGACCCCAAAACTATGCAGTTCTGAATACTTTGAAATAGTCTACAAAGGGACACCTACTTTCAAACATAAGATCCCTACACAGTAGCCATTGTGCAAAAGATATTACTCAATAAATACACATACTGGGGAGCTGGGAATAGACACAGTATTTACATATGGTTAATGTTGGTTTTGGACTATTAATACCCAAAAGGAGAATACATTATAGGGGGGGAAAAAAACCCAAAACACTACTAAGTGAAATCAAGACAGCATTTAAAGATTTTTTTTCTTAAGAAACTTTTTGGGATGTTAACCATCAGGATATTTAAATAGATTCATTAATTCAACGTATTAAATTCAACATACAGTGATACACAGGGTATATTTATTCTTGCTGCAACTGTACTCAAGATAATATGTTGTGAAATGGATAACTGGGCCAGCTTAGAGATGAGAACAAAAATGATCTGAAAAGAAATATGAATTCTGAGGCTTTTAAATATTTAAGTTACAGCATTCATCATACATACACATCCATAGGTATATACACACATGTACATACACACCACTTTAGGGATCCTATCAATTACCATGATCCTGAATAAAATACAGAGGTGGTTTCTGTCAAGAGAGCAGAAGGAAAAGAAGTGGAATTCATGCTCTTTAGCTGATACTTTATGTGAGAACTAAAACAGATTCAGCCTGCAAGAATGCTAGCTTTGAGGACAAAGCCTATTGTTGGCCTGGCGGGGTAAACCAGATAGGAATCACAACCAGATGAGTTAATTCTACTTTATTGTAAAGCTGGATTGACAGAATCCTGCAAGTAGGAAAGTACAACCCCTGCCCCATCTCCTTTACAGCACGAGAAACTAGGCAGGGTCTCTTCTGAGCCTCTTGCCCCACCCACTATCCAGCTGTGGGCTATGCTGTCTCTTATCTGACTGTTCCCTTGGCAGCGCCCCTTTGCCCAGTGCTCTTACAGATCTGACATCTCAATAGAGGAAAGATTCTCAGTGACTGCTTCTCTTTTTCCATTCTTTAAGCTGCTTTTAGTCTGATAGAGAAAATAGTGTCCCGTCTTGGGACACAGTTGCCATCACAAGAGGCACTGGAAGGCAATGCAACATGCTTTCAACATCTCCAATGCTGGCTCTGTTTCCCTATGCTTTTCTCAATCTGATGGATATTTTGCTACTTTAAAACAAATTGCCAGTTCTGTCATTAGTAAAAGAGACACAGAGCTGCATATGTTAATATTATAGAACTGACTTCAGAATAGAAAAAGATTACTTCCTGGCCAAATTAAATGAAGATTTCTGTATGCTTTACTGTAAGTTAATAATTAAAAGACAACAAACTACAAGCAAAGCCTCAAATCAAAGTTGTTCATGAAGGGAAAAAAAGAAACCTCAGTTTTTCACTTTACCATGACCATAGGTTATAGCTTCTAGGGCTCTACAAAGCATGCCAAGAGGTCTTTTGCAAAGTATGACTGTGTGCAGCGTTAAAGCTGTTCCTCCTCCGGAAGGATCCACATTGCTGCTTTGAATGGTGCCCTTAGTGGTTTGCGTGTGTGCATGCATGTACAGATAACACTTCTGCTGTGACCACCAATGAAGCAAAGCAGCTGTTTATGTACGCACATGGACAAAGAACCGGAACAGGCTGCTTTAACTCTTTAAAGGAGAGATACTTTGCTTGTGCTAATAAGCTTTGTAAACCAGTTTTTCTGAATGTTCTGTACAGCCTAGTAGCTTTTCCATTATTGTGTTAAAAATCAGCATGCCATGATAGGGACAAAAATACACTGGAAATTCTCTTATTGCTACAGAACCTCTCTCTCTCTCTCCCCCTCTCCCTCTCTCTCTTTCCATACACACATATACATATATATATGTGTTCTACCTAACAAACCAGAAAATAATGCAAGAGGTGCTGCCAGTAGTGCTGAAACATACAATTACAGTGAAATGGAGCAGTAAGACGAGAGCCATAAAGGTGAACAGAAATGGAAGAGAACAAACTGCTCAGGTAGGTTCCGGCCATTAGAGGGCAACAGCTCCGAGCTCAAAGATTCCAAGCAGGAAGAGGTAAGAAAACAGTGTGTGTGGACACATTCACAGACAGGGAGAGAGATACGGCCTTTTTTGTTCTGTGCAAATGAAAAACAATTCGACTATAGCATAATGTCCCCAATACATAAAGACTAGCCTCAAAGGAAGTTCAGCAAAAGTCAACCTCAAAATGAATCAACAGAGAATCCACAGGGACCTTTAGTTTGCCTGAGTATCCACCTCCCTCTCGGTCCTTTAAGTTTCAATGTTATATGTGCAGCAACAATTGAACACAGGGTGGCCCTTTTCACATACTATGCAATCCAGCTGATTATATTACCTCAAACTGGCAGTTCACTCTATACCACTCCCTGGTCATCTGACAGGTAACTCATCTTCATTCATAAATGCATGGCCACCAATAAGGTTTGGAGAACAGGAGGGGGCAGGGAAAATGGTATAAAATACAGACTCTGAGCTATTCTCCACCAAGTGATATTGTGATCCTGGTGAAACCTGATCTCAAAACAGGTTTCCAATATTGGTGTTAATAATTCATAAGTGAGATAAATTCTAACATAGGGTAAGCACCAGTTGACTTCTCAGGAATCTGGTATCTGGCTGTGCCTGTCCCCCCAAATGTCACCCCCCAGGCAGTATCAGAAGAAGAGACTAAGTTCCTTATAACAATACAAACGACCCTTTTACCTTCCATATAGTAGCTTTTCAGTTTATAAATATTAGGGAAGGGACTATTGATCTGCAAACTGCACTGGATTTTTTTTTACTGAGCTGCAAGGTATAAATGCTTTAAATAAATGAATAATATAAAAACTCAGTCGATTGCTATACATTCTGATACTATCACACATTAAAATAAACTTGGCTTTGTTTTTTCTTCAGCTTAATCTCCTATTAAACACTTGTACACTTATATATGGTGATTATATATCCCTCTTTTAAGTACTGCACTCATCCACTATCTTGGTTTGACTCAGGCATTTTAAACACTCCTCTTACTTTCTACTATAAAATCACAGAGTCATAAAGGTGGAAGGTACCATAGAGATTATCCAGTATAGCCCCTGTGCAAAGCAGGAGCAACTAGAGCTTCTGTTTCAAGACCTCTAGTAAAGGAGAACTCGTCGCATTATATGGCAGCCTGTTCCACTGGCTGACAGCTCAGACAGTCAGCAAATGCTGAAACTCCTTTCTTCTATTTTTAATCCATTTGTTCTGGCCCTACGCTTCAGGGCAATGGAGAGTAAACCATCTTCTGTGTGACAACCCTTCAGATATTTGAAAACTGCTTTCATATCTCCCCTTAATTGTCCTTCTTATAAGATCCTTGTCCTTTATCTTCTTATAGGGCTTGGTTTCTAGATCCTTCACCATCTTGGTTGCCCTCTGCTGAACATACTCCAATTTGTTACTATTCTTTTAGATGTGGTGCCCAGAACCAGACATAATATTCCATATGGGGTCTGACCAAGGCAAAATAGAATGACTAATTAACGATTACTTTCCATGATCTGGACTCTATGCTCCTGTTAAAGCATCCCACGATAGCATTTGCCTTTTTAGCAACTGCATCATACTGCTGCTAAAAAGCCCAGAGTCCAGAAACTACTGACAGCAACAGTATGTTCAATGACACCTGACAACTACAGAATTTCTTTGTGATTTAAATACTTTTCTTACCTGCTTTCTTATAGTAGAACTGCGTCTGCTGTTAATCCAAGAATCCACATGAACCATTATCAATAGATGAGGGGGAACAGGAAGAGAAAGCAAAAGCATATATCAAATTAATCATTTACAATCAAAATATCAATTTGATAGATAAATGGTTCTTCTGTGAGTGGAGGTAGAGAAGAATCAGAGACAGGAAATATTTCCATTAATTTATTTCCAGTTTTTAAAAATATTAGGTGATCTAAAATAAAAATACTATAATGGTCAAACAGGCACAGCAGAGCTTATTGCTAAAAGAGGGCTATAATTAACCTTTTACTTCCAATCTTAGAGAACATCGCTATAAAGCCTCTTCATTCTGTAATGTGATTTAGAAATTATTTAAAGGCAGCACCATGCTAAGGAAGGTGTGTTCTGCTGGATAATTTACAGCCACAAGGGAGAGGAAAATTCAGATTGTTTTCTCTGAGACTAATTCTAACTTATGAACGACTCTTCAATAAAACAAATGTAACATGATTGAAATAACAAGGTCACAATTACAAATAATCTCATAAACATTTTTGCGATTCTTAGATATTACTAGGAGATTCAAGAGTAGAATGGTTGCTAAAACATTTGCTTAGGTGTTCTCATGTGGAACACCCTGTCACTCGTTTTAAATATACTGGCATACCACCTTATCTGCTGAGAATGTCACTTGAGACAGAGGATTAATGGATTTCTCTGATCACAGTTTTCAATGACCAAGGACTGTAGAGATATTAGAAGTTAGCTAGATTTATGCTGTGTATCTATGGTGGCAGCTAACCTAATGGTATTTCTCAGGAGTCCTTAAGACCCATAGAAGTTTAGTTTGTCTTTATAATCTATCTACTTAAGGATCTAAGGAACTTAAATTCAATCATTTGGATGGCTCTCCTGAGGACCTGTGGAACTACGTCTTGAACTGATGTGACTGAAATCCTTCCTATGGGAAAGCAGAGTTGTCCCTAGACTGACTTATGACTTGTAAAATAACTCTGAAGGAAAGAAACTGGAGTACATGACACAGTGACTTCATAAAATTTTTTAGAAGAGATAGCACTTAGTACTAGTATTTGTTTATTGTATGTAGAAAGTCCAATTTCAAATTCTAACATTTCCAGGTAAACTATCACAGCCAGCAAGACTAGAAAAAAAATCTGATCTTAGAATTTTGGAGAGTCACTACTAATTGAAGTAACAACCTCCAGATAATATGGACCATTAGTCTGACAAAGAATATGGCAGTTTTCCATTTCCATTTTCTGTTTATTGCTCTGGTGTCCTCTCAACCTTAGGATATGAGTACAGGTAGTCCTTGACTTACGACCACAGTTGGGACCAGAATGTCTGTCACTAAGCGATGCAGTCATTAAGTGAGTCGCACCCAATTTTATGACCTTTTCTGCTGTGGTCATTAAGCAAATCATGTGGTCATTAAGTGAATCCGGCTTCCCCCATTGACTGCTTGTTGGAAGCCAGCTGGGGAGGTAGTAAATGGCGATCACATGACCCTGGGACACTGCAACCATCATAAGTACATGCTGGTTGCCAAGTGCCTGAATTTTGATCACGTGATCGAGGGGAATGCTGCGACAGTCACAAGTGCAAGGACCAGTTATAAGTCACTTTTTTCAGCATCACTGTAACTTTGGTCATTAAACAAATGGTTGTTAAGTTGAGAACTACCTGTACAATACAAAGATTTTAAAATCTTACATATTTATACCCAATTTTCTTACTCTGACAACAGATCCATAGTGGCTAACAATAAATAGTTAACCTAATGTTATTTCCTAAAATCAGTGGTGAATGACAGTGGAAAATGATTAATCTTAATTACTGCATATATGTATATACTATTATATGCTTATTTGCATCTACAATGAACAGATAGATGCTTGCAATTTCAATGTGGTGCCCAGTTTTCCTTGAAGTTTACTTAGAACCCAGGGGTTATGTTCACTCTTCCCTAACATCCATTATCTGAAAGCAACAGTTAATGGATGCTGCTTCCCTGCGTTTTTTTGCTGTTAGATAAACTGTAATTTTGATAAGGAAGATTGGCAGGGATGGGCAAGAGGATAAGGATTAAATGTCTCCTTCTCAGTCTCCTCTTTGAGACTTCTATGGAGAGTGCCACTAGGGTGTGAGATAACATAAATGACAGAGTTTACACACTATGGTTAGCCATCATGTAATTGATTTGCTTTGGTCTTAACATCCTGTAAACCTGGCTATTATGGGTTGGCAAACAAGCTATGCTTTAAAAATCATGGTTTAGTGGAAGGTGGGAACTCGGCCAGAAAACAAACACAGAGAACATGAGGGTTTCTGTTCTTCCAACACAAGTCAGATTGTTAATCTATCTAGCTTAGAATGGTCTACACTGGCTGGCAGAAGCCATCTACTCAGATTCAAGCAGAGGTCTTTCCAAACCCTTCTTAAAATGAAACAAAATTAAGCATTTTCCCATAGCAGTGCACCATAGGCAAAAGGCAACACCTACCAAGGACTAGTAGTCAAGAGACTTCATCTCAGAGAATATAAACAGATTCTCTTAAGATGTCAACAAACCCACCATACAACTTTGTCTTAGATCAGGAGAACTTGAAATGATAAATATACAACATGGTGGCAATATACTGGTGAGATAATTTTGTATTGATATGAGCCATCAGCTTGCCATTCATTTGTCATCTTGCTCACTGTTCCTTGATCCTACAACTAAAATCTGACATCAGCTGTCCATATTCAACTCAGTTTGAAAGTAATGGAAGGTTCTACCTGTGATAGGTCAAACTGGCTGACAAGTTGTTTATAGTGTTGTTTCATTGTATGGTTTTATTATTTTATGAGTATAATCCACCTAGAATCATCAGGGGGTGGCATACAAATGGCTGCATCAATAAATAAATGAGAACAAAAAAGGAGCACCCCATTTTATCCTTTTTGGGAGCTTCATGTCAGCTCTAACAGCCTTCCCTCTGTTTTTTGCTTCTAATACAGTTATTCCTGTTCTGACAAATGAACTGCTGGAAATAAGTTACTGAAAAAAAATCCCTTATATAATTCAACTCCTTGCCAAAACGGATGGATGATGAATTTGAAATAAAAGCAACATCACTTGTGCTTAAGAATCATACTTTTAATTTTGTGGCATTTAAAAAAAAATGATAAAGACAAAAATCAAGAGAGAATCCAGGTGTCCCCTCTGTTGTTCTTCTGCCTTGTGCTGTTTTTGAATGTTTTTAAAATGTTTTTCTTTTTTCCTACTGTTTTTTGTTTTTAAATGTTTTTAAAATTGTAAGCTGTCCAGAGTTGCTGGGAGTTGGGCGGCATATAAATTTTTGTTTTTAAATGTTTTTAAAACTTTTAGCTGCCCAGAGTCGCTGGGAGTCAGGTGGCATATAAATTTAATAAATTATTATTATTAATACATTGCAAGGATTGAAATAATAATAAAGGTAATATTATTATTACTATTAATAATTAAATGATAATGATGGTGATGCAGGTTCCTCTCACAGACAATCTAGGATATTTTAAAATTTTCACCTAAATATTACTATAACATTTAATACTGCTACACAATGAATCATACTTCATTACTGCAAGTGTCAGTTCTCTGTTAGGAACTATCAGCTGTGCCTGACATTTTATATTATTTATTTACTTGATTTGTATCCTGTCTTTCTTTCCATAGGGCTATGTAAATCAAACTGATTATTCCAGTTACAGAAGAGTTAACCTCCTTTTCTTAAAGACAAACATGTACCACATGCGCATATATCTTGGCTTCTAGGCCAACAAAGAATGGCAATTTGGAGATTTGTAACATTCCACAGAAGACCTATCAAAAGTCATTTTTTTCAATTATTATTTCCACATCTGCAGTGACATTTATGATAGAATGATTGATGCCGGGCCCAGTTATAACAAAACGTTTATTCTCTTCACTGATTTAATCCAATTCTCTGTCAGACCAGATGGGGTCAGTGGGGCAAAATGGAAGAAAACCTCTGTATGATTGATCTCTCCCCTCCCTGTTAGACAATCAAAAGCACTTCGAGAATTTCTTTCAGGGCTTTTTATCCTACTGGATAGGGATGAATCTAGCAAAGCACAGTGCTAGCCTGAGAAAATCAAGACAGCTTATGATATATTGGCTAAGTAGTAAAATCACGGGCTGGGTTCACAATGAGCTAAGCCAGAATCAAACCAACCAACCATTATGGTTTATAAGATTTAAGGCTTAGCATGATGTGAGAACTCAATCAGTTAAACAAAATGCAGCACAGTAAAATGTATTAAGTCTGAATCTCTTTTTCTTTCTTTCTCTTAAGTGCATTTAGTTGTTGGAACATGATGACAAGCAGTTCAAAGTTAAGTTTTGCTTTTCATTTAATTTGGAATTCTGTAGTTGTGTTTCCTTCTGAGAAAGGCAATGGCAAACCACTTCTGTATTTTTGACAAGAAAAATGTACAGACATATCCATTAAGTGTCTAGGTCAACCTGAAGAAGACTCCACCTTTTTATGTGTATGTCCCATTTTCCACCAGCAGTGAAGTTCTAGGGCAGAGATAAGGAAGCGAATGGCATTATGGCCTCAAAATACATGTACATCTGTCACAATCTTTTGTGGCTAGGTGGACAATTGGACATAGGCATCCACTGTTAGTGCAAGGCCATTAGCAAGTGTAATAGCTACTACTGCCCTTAGATTGACAGTCAAATAGTATGATCAATGTTATTCAAATCTCTGTAATTATCAAGTTGTGGTCTTTCAAAATCCCAGTGGATCCAAATTCCCAGATGGAATAAATTGTATGTAAACAGTGTGTAACAATAACTTTTCATTGTGCACTACAGTCAATACTTTTGTTTCCTGATGAATATTCTAGTTTGCAAATGACCTCATTTTCTTACATTATGTTTGGGGGCGGGGGACAGACTACTCCAAATATTTCTAAATGGAAACTAACATTTCCATGAGCATTTTACAAAAGAGCACTGAAAACCTGTGATACCATCAAAACAGCGATTGTTTGGAGGTGAGTTAGTTAACGTTTTGTTTGCAGGAAACTCCTGCTTTGCTTGCTGGAAGACAATGAAACAAGGGAGCTACTTGCTGCCACACCTACCTTGCAAGAGAGCAGTCAGTTCTTTGACCTGTGATGAGAAAAATAAAAATAAATTATGTTTTTAAACAGAGAGAGAAATCTGCAGGAGGAAGAAAGCTTGTGGAAAAAAGGCTCCTATTGCTTCAGTTTGAACGAGGGAACTGGTAGAAACTATTATGGGAGGGAGGAAGACACACAGTGGCTGATTCCCCTCGAGAACAGTCATTTTGATCAAGATGATCAGCAGCAAATCAAGAAATGTGGAGTTCTTGGTGCTCTCTGAGCTTGCCCTGCCAGTTTTGATGGGGTGTGGTGGGGTAAATAGGGCAAGCTAAACAGGTGGCAAACCCCACACTCACTCGCACTGATGATGTTACCTAGTTGGATAATGAAATTATCAAGCTCAGAG